TTTCCTACGCGCGTCTCGCTACAGGTAGAGTCTCATTATATCAAATGCTTCATTCAGTCCGTGAGACGCACGTCTCCCACAGAGCTCCTGTCTTTTTACTCTCCATGTATGTTTTTCCTCTGCTATGTTTACTGAGGAGTAATCTCCACAGTCAGCTGCTTAAATCACACAAATCCTGTTGTTTTCTGATTCTACTGGTAGCTGTTATGACTGATCAGGCTGTTTGAGTTTCACTTTCTCTTTCTCCCTCTGTAAGGAGCGGGGGGAGGGGTGGGGGGCTCAATAAACAAAAATAACTCCATAGGTCACTGTAGTGTCTACTTTCAGTCTTAGCCAGGCTGTCTTAGCTTACTTAACAGGAACAATCTTCCTTCCACAGCAGGCATGTCTCTAGCAAAGTAAATGATTCAAAAAAGGAAGGTGAAGTCCAAGGAACATTACACTGGTACATTCGAAAGCACATGTCTCTTCATGTCAGCAAGTGGAGGAGTGCACTCTTTGTTTAATGGATGTGTTCAGTAAAGACAGGACAGATCAGGACTGTTTGTTTTTATTAGTTTAGATTGTGTTTGTTGATATTTGTGACTTTGGTGAAGATCAGATCACATTTCATGACCAATTTATGCAGAAAACCAGGAAGTTCCTATAGGCTCTATTCCATTATAAAGCCTTGTCCGGTTCTTTCAAACCAGGAACTCCGAGGGACGACTCAGACCACTTGAGTATATAAAAAATATAACCATGCTGGTTTATTCAAAGAGTCACAGGCAAGCATTAACACTTCCAGTCCAGAGATCTTCCAAACCCCCAGCCTGCCAAAGCAGCCCGGAAGCAGAAAAGACCCCGAACCAAGAATTCCTATACAATATTAATCATTTCTGGGCTGTCGAACTGTGACGTCACCCGATATGCCAGCTTGGCAGCTGAGCAGAGCAGTAGACAAAACATGAAGAAAATAATGTGTGTGGCTGTTGTTTTCATGGTGTGTATCTAAAACAATTTGACATAACATTACACATTAAGACAAATATTATGGTTCCTTTTACCGTCATAATAACATTTGTCCCTGACGGCAGCCTTTCTGCCTTAACCAACCTTGCATTTAACAGCCTGAGGAAGACATCCTGGCTGCACTAACATCTTCTAATACAACAGATCTCTAATCCATATCTATCTAACTAAGAAATTACCTAACATTCCAAACAGTGCTATGACTTTTTCTTACGACTGTATATCAAGCCTATTTGTTTTTATATGGACCATTTTCTCTTTGTGTCTGGTCCAGAATCAAGTTTGAATGAAATGAAGGAATACAAAATATCATCAACTAGTTATTAAGATTTGTAATAAGATACAACTTCATTGATTCCCAGGGGAGATTAACAGGCTACCCTCCATTGACAGAGACCTGACAGAATAAATACTTCTCTATTTCTGTCGTTACTAAAAAGAACACATCCTGTACTGTCTGGGCTTTGGTTGATGCCCAGTCACGTCTGTTCTGGGGAATATTAACTGTAAATGACAATATAGGTTTATTTAAATACCTTGAAAGTACTTTATTAACCTGGAGTAGCGCACGTAGGACCCCAGCTGAGGCTTCCACCACACTTCTAGAAAGAGGACAAAAATGTCCATAAATTATTCACTGCTAAAAAAGTAACTTTCATAAATGTTTGAAGACACAACACATTGAATAATAATGTGCCTGATATGTTTTATCTTACTAAAACTGTTCAGTTCAGTAGGTCTGCATTAAGGGATGTGATGTGGGGTGAGCAGATTAACAGTCGGTTTTAATCCGACCACCTTACAGTAGTCTGACAGCCTCAAAATTCTCTGTCATCGTTGGTGATTTTGTGTTTGTTTGTTTTTTTTCCTGCAGTGTCTCCCCTCAGGAAACTCGTGTACCACAGGCAGTGAACAGCTGTTGGACTCTGTCATCTGTGTGTAAGTGTCTCTGTGACACCGTACATGTGTCTCTGTGCGATGTGGTGTCTGCAGAGAGTTTAGTTGCTTTGTGTCTTGGTCTTCTTTGTTAATGCAGTATAAATGTAGTTCTGTATCCACTGTAAACATTTTGTTAGTTTGAAAACACAATGAGGAAATGGGAAACACGACAAATGAAAGCCATTAAAACATAGCAAATAGTACTGTAACTGAGGTTTGTTATTTTTTTTTTTTTTTTTTTTTTTAGAAAGCAGCTATGTAATTTCTGAAATGTTAAATATGTTCAAATCGAGCTGCAGTGTAATGCCACACGTATACAGAAGATTGAGCATTACAGTGTAAGACTGTGTCATCGGTTTAGAGATGCCAGGACCTACTGCAAGTGCTACCAGACATGCAGCTTTCTAGGCATTTGGGATTTTGCTTAGAATAAAGTCAAATCTATAAATAAGTGTTAGACCAAATCTACAGACAGTAGACATGTAGTGTGTAGATAGACCTGCCAGTATGAGCATGTGACTGAAGGACCAGATGTGAGGAATGTTTACGTTTCCTACCCCTTGTACATTTTGAGTCGTACCTTCTCCAGAATGAAACGGGTATCTACCTTTGAACTGATAAACATCAGTAGAACTGATCTGAAACTGTTAAATAATGCATCAGCTGCATATTTGGACAGTTGTGCAGAAACATTCTCATTACTGTAAAGGATTTTAGAAGTTTCAATAGAGGCAAAATAATGGTTTCATTTAACTCTTTGTTTAATCTGGTGTCTTGTTCCTTAGATCACAGAAGCTAGGGCTGTGAGCAGAACCTGTAGAATATAAGGACACATGGCTTGTACAACACAGTCGGCCAGAGATTGCATCCAGAATGCCAGACCCCACCTCGTGGGACACTTAAAGAATCTGTCTGTGATTGTGGAGAACTTGTATCAGAAGGAAGTTTTCACTGGTGAAGAGGTCAGCAAAATAGAGGCAGAGACTGACGACTACGATAAAACCAGAAAAATACTGGACTTAGTTATAAATAAAGGGGAAGATGCCTGTTACTTGTTACTCAGGATTATTGACATGACCAGGAAGAGGACCTTGGAGAGACTGCCGCTTCTCCCTGTTAAAAGAAGAGCAGTTTCTGCTGAGACCAAGGAGTTTGATCTGCACCACTGGATCAGCTGCTTTCCTTTCAAGGAAGATGCACAGATGGACATAAACTACTTACAGGGTATTTGATTCCACAGTGTTGACTGATAATATGTCATGTTTTTATTATTTCTCTGATGTGCTGATTTTATATAAGGTATTTGAATTGGTCTGTGTACAAATAGTTACAGTGTCTATAAAAGGATTCACCCCCTTGGATGTTTTACCCATTTATTGATTTTATAAATCAATCATGGTCAATATCATTTGACTTTTTTGATTTAAAAAAAATTTACAAAACACCTCTTTAATGACAAAGTGAAAACCGCTTTCTACAAAGTAATGTCAATTAAATTAAAATATGTAGAGCGCTTGGGCAGAGCTTGAGCTGTTTTGCAAAGAAGAATAGAGTAAAATTGCAGTGTCCAGATGTGCAAGCCTGACTGAGACCTATCCACACAGACTCAGTGCTGTGACTGCAGCCAGAGGTGCATCTACTAAATATTGACTGGAAGGGGGTGAATATTTATGCAGTCACTTATTTGACATTACATATTTTTATTTAACCCTTGTGTTCTGTTAAGAATCATAATTGACATTACTTTGTAGAAACCTGCTTTCACTTTGGCATTACAGAGGTTTTCTGTAAAAACTTTTCTGTCAAAAAAGCCAAATTATATTGACCACGATCGATTTATAAAATCAATAAAAGGGTAAAACATCCAAGGGGGTGAATACTTTTATAGGCACTGTACTTCTCATTGAGTAAGATGTGTGAGGGCACAGCAGTTCATCCACAGTACATTTATTTACTCATTTTGTTGTTATTTTAGGCCCAAGGCCATGCCACAGATATCAGGCCAAGCTAAAGTCAAAAGCACAAAAACTGTCTCGTGAGTTTTGGATGAAAAGCAAAAATCTGTTTGAAGAAAACAACAAGCCTGATCTGCGGTACACTCCACTGGTATTAGACACACAAGGAATCGTTCCTCCATCGAAAACAAAAAAATTTAAGAGCAAGAAATGCAGGATGAGTCGTCCTAAAAAAATGAGGACATACATCCCTGAGGACAAGAGAGAAATGTCCCCCAGTGACCTGCTGAAAACTGTTAAGAACATACTGGTGGTGGGTAAACCTGGAATTGGAAAGACAGCACTCAGTCATGAACTGTTGAAAGTCTGGGCGGAAAGAGGCGGCGAGGAGCTCGACTACATGTTTTACTTTGACATGAGAGAAGCAGCCATCATCAGGAAGGACATGAGCTTGGAGGACCTTCTGTTCAGTGTGTTCACTGAACCAGATGAAGGCAAAGAAGACGTCTTAGAGGACATAAAGAAGAACTCAGACAATGTTACAGTCATTTTTGATGGACTCACAGATCTCTCTTCACCTGTGGTGAAGAGGCTTGTAAAGCAAGACCTACTACCTGATGCAAAGATCATCATAACGTGCAGACCGGAGGATGAAGAGACCTTCTTTTCTGAGGACAGTCTCAGAGTGGAAGTGAAAGGCTTTAGTGAACAGACCATAAAAACATATTTATGTGCAACACTCGGCGACAAGCGGAAGAAGGTTTTGAGCAACGTGGAGCTGTTCACTCTCTGCCATGTGCCCATGTATGCACTGATGGTGGCTGTCTGCTGTGCATCACACTCCCCACAGCCATGCACTGTAACTGAAATATACATCAATATTGTTCGTTTCTGCCTTCAGATCAACAGCCACGAAACAATCAGACGTATGAATTCCTTCATCAAAAACAAGAGTAAGGAAATACTGTCACTGGCTGAGGTTGCTTTTCTGGCAACTGAAGGGAAAACTGTGAACCTGGCAGAGCTGCCCTATGAAGACAGTTGTGTCTTCTCCTTCCTGAAGCCGCTCTGTGTCAAAGCTTCCATTAATGCCATTACTGATCCAGAAACCACATATGCATTTCTTCATTACACAATGCAGGAGTTTTTTGCAGCACTGTGGCTCTTGAAGAGTCCCGATCACATCAAGGCTGTTTTTCAGCAGTGCTTGACTGAGGAGAAGAAGCACATGAAACATCTGATCCCCTTCATGTGTCGGCTGTTGAGCGAGAAGAGCCCCAGTTTGATGAAGTGTCTGATTCCAGCTGAGGAGCTCAGGAATACCTCCGACTGGTTCTTCAGGGAAATGATAGCCAAATTTTCCCCTCGTCTGTGTGAGTACGAGGAGACTGGTGCTGACGACAGCGACTGTGACATCGACATACTGTTCTTATGTCAGTGCTTGTATGAGTCCCAGTGTCCTGAAGCATGCGCCTGCCTTCTGGACAATCTGGACTACAGTCTCGATCTCAGTGGAGTGAATCTGGATCCTTACCCTTGTAGTGCTGTGGCCTATGTGATCACTCAGTCGAAGGAGAGGAAAATACGGCTGGACCTTGAGGACACATCGGTATCAGAACAAGGGATGAGACAACTGCTGGGATGCTTTAAACATGTCCAATGGTATGGGTGAGCAGTGTCCAGTTGCTGCATAGATTACAGCACATGTCATTAAGAAGCAGTGTTACCATAAACAGAATAAGAGGGGAGTTAAAACTGACAGATAATCTGATAAGAATGATACTGTACTGTTGATAAGTTTCATGATGACGACGTGATCTTCAGTTATTCTTCACAACACAGGTGTGACCCTCTGACCCGACAGATATCGAAAAATTTCCTTCTTAGTGAAGGGCAGATTGGATTTGATGGAAATGAGTTGCATCTTCCAGCTGAGGGTGAAACCCAGCTGTTTGAAAGGGCTGTGGAGGTCCTGCAGAACATGACTACGGAGGTGAATCTCTGCCTCCACTGGGACAGGGGGAGCCACGCCTGCCACAGTCTGTGTGAGGCGCTGTTACAGGCTTTGCCATTCATCCGCTCACTCAGGTAGGTGGCTTTTGTTTTTGTGTACTGTTGATTCTGTTGATTTTGTACTGTTTTATCCTGTTGGTGTGGGGAATGGAAATTCTTCTTTTTGTGTTTGGATCACTGCTTTCTAAACGAGTAGTTTACAAAACAGATGTTGTTTTTGAACATTTCTCTTATCAACCAGAATTTTCTCTTTTTCTGTCAGAGCTTGATGTGCAATAGTTGGGGAAAATACACATTATATGTTTGTCTTATATTTAACATAGCATGGTTTTGAAGTGATACTCGTGTGCAACCATACAGTCTGTGCTTAGGTGTTAAGATGATGATGCTTTGCAGTATATTTAGTACAGATGTGTTTATCATGCAGCTTCAGGAAAACGCAGAGAGACCCAGGACTACAGGACCTGGAGCAGCAACACTTAACACTGGACAGGGAAAAGGGACTGTTACTGGATTTATGTCTTAAGGCAGTTCACAAAGGAGAAAACTGTGGAAATGCAGTGAATAAACTCTTCTCACTATTTCATGTTGCTGCAGAGTTAGATGACTTACTTCTTGTTTTTTACGAACGTCTCAAGACTGAAAGATGTTTAAATGTCCTTCCAAGCCTGAGGCCACTTTTCCAGTTGACTCCTTCAGTCTGGTCCATAGACCTCTCAGAGAGAAAGGCCTCCATCCTCCTGGAAGTGCTGAAACTCCAAACAGAGAAGAAACACGTGAAGCTGACAGGCTGCTCACATGGAGAGAGTGAAGTGAAGAGTCTCCTACAGTGTCTGCCTTATATCTCACAGCTCAGGTAAATGTGTTGGACTACACATGGTTTAACTCTGCATGTGAAGAGTTGTGTTCTAAATTAGATGTGTGAATCTTTAGTGCTGCATAAGTTGTAACGTCACCGTACTGTATCAAATGTTCCTCTGATATGTGTTTGTCCTCAGTGTTGTATTTACACAGTGTGACTGTAGTTGTGTGGAGGTAGTTGAGGCCCCTAGTGCGAGTTAGAGCACAGACAGTGTGGACAGTCAGTGGTAATGAAACAGCTACTGCTGAGACGCTGTCAGAGCAACAGGACGTTCAGTAACAGGTCATGTCAGAAACCACAGACAGAGGCTCCACTGCTGCACAAAGCATCCTCACTCAGATGTAATTAGCAGTGAGAGGAAGCAGCTACTGGAAGTACATTAGTCAAGTGCAGTACTTATGTACAGTCTCATAGTTTCCTGTAGTATTTCCACTTTGTGGTGCTTTATGTTTGGACTGCATTTCAGAGGGAAACCGTTTACTCTCCACTGCTCTGTGTTTATTAGCAGCTGTGGTTTCTTGTTACTTTGCAGTTGAAGATTTCATGTCCATGTACAGTCTGATCAGTTTATAACAGATGAGCCTTTACTACAGATGAAACTACCCAACGGGATATAAACTAAGGCAGTTAGCATTAGCTTCACCACAAGCAGCCGCAGCATGAAAATGCTCCAGTTAGATTTTAGTTTCTGGTGTCACGAGTCCAAATGAATGCTGTCTTCAGTAAATAGACAGGAGCTGCATGTTCAGGCTCTCACTCCAAAACACCAGGCACCAAACCACTGGCTCATGTTTGTAGTTGACTGAACCACAGTATGAAACACAGTGATCATTAGGATCGTTAGTCTTAATGAAGGCCACTGTCTGATGGATCAGACAGAGGAATCAGTGTGTGAATATGCTGCTTTTGGTTTGAATGGTACCACAGCCACAACTTGGAAACACATCAGTCTTCTGCCTGTGTGCCAAGAATGAACTGATGTGAATCACAATCAGACCAGTGCAGCTGTGAGTGGACCCCACAGTCCTGCTAATACGTCCTCATGCAGACACAAGGACCCATCACACATCAGTGGAGAACCTCAGGTTCACACTGTCTGTGGCACAAAGCACATGAGTAGCATCATTTCCAGTTTAACAGCTGCTGTAAAATACCTGAGACCAGACAAGCTGCCTTTGTAACTCCTGACTGGAGTGAACTTTACTGACCATGATGTGATTTCTACCAACTCTGTAGTCTCCAAACGTGATGTTCAGCCTGGCTCAGTAAAAACCATGATTTCATTTGAATCAGCAGCAGCATTCACAAGCTGGAGTCCATCAGAGTGTGTGGATGTTTTTGTGCTGCTGAGATCAAATCATCACCAAATGTTTCCTTTATCCTTCCAGTTTTTATCCTTTGCGGTTAGTTGATGATGATGGAGCCGAGTTTTTGGCGAATCTGTTCTGTGCAGCAGCAGCAGAGAGAGAACAGGAGACAGGACAGACGACACTGGAGCTGTTGTTGTCAGTCTGCACTGATGAAACATTCCTTTATAACGACATAGATGATGAATATGATGATGATGATGATTATAAGGAAGATCAGTGTGACATCCTGCTGGATCTGTGCTCCCATGTGAAGGACTATGAGACTAAAACAGGCCTGAGGGTCCTTCCATCATTACGACCACTTTTCCAGTCGATTCCTTCAGTCTGGTTCATATACCTCTCAGAGAGAAAGGCCTCCATCCTCCTGGAAGTGCTGAAACTCCAAACAGAGAAGAAACATGTGGAGCTGAGAGGCTGCTCACATGGAGAGAGTGAAGTGAAGAGTTTCCTACAGTGTCTGCCTTATATCTCACAGCTCAGGTAAATGTGTTGGACTACACATGGTTTAACTCTGCATGTGAAGAGTTGTGTTCTAAATTAGATGTGTGAATCTTTAGTGCTGCATAAGTTGTAACGTCACCGTACTGTATCAAATGTTCCTCTGATATGTGTTTGTCCTCAGTGTTGTATTTACACAGTGTGACTGTAGTTGTGTGGAGGTAGTTGAGGCCCCTAGTGCGAGTTAGAGCACAGACAGTGTGGACAGTCAGTGGTAATGAAACAGCTACTGCTGAGACGCTGTCAGAGCAACAGGACGTTCAGTAACAGGTCATGTCAGAAACCACAGACAGAGGCTCCACTGCTGCACAAAGCATCCTCACTCAGATGTAATTAGCAGTGAGAGGAAGCAGCTACTGGAAGTACATTAGTCAAGTGCAGTACTTATGTACAGTCTCATAGTTTCCTGTAGTATTTCCACTTTGTGGTGCTTTATGTTTGGACTGCATTTCAGAGGGAAACCGTTTACTCTCCACTGCTCTGTGTTTATTAGCAGCTGTGGTTTCTTGTTACTTTGCAGTTGAAGATTTCATGTCCATGTACAGTCTGATCAGTTTATAACAGATGAGCCTTTACTACAGATGAAACTACCCAACGGGATATAAACTAAGGCAGTTAGCATTAGCTTCACCACAAGCAGCCGCAGCATGAAAATGCTCCAGTTAGATTTTAGTTTCTGGTGTCACGAGTCCAAATGAATGCTGTCTTCAGTAAATAGACAGGAGCTGCATGTTCAGGCTCTCACTCCAAAACACCAGGCACCAAACCACTGGCTCATGTTTGTAGTTGACTGAACCACAGTATGAAACACAGTGATCATTAGGATCGTTAGTCTTAATGAAGGCCACTGTCTGATGGATCAGACAGAGGAATCAGTGTGTGAATATGCTGCTTTTGGTTTGAATGGTACCACAGCCACAACTTGGAAACACATCAGTCTTCTGCCTGTGTGCCAAGAATGAACTGATGTGAATCACAATCAGACCAGTGCAGCTGTGAGTGGACCCCACAGTCCTGCTAATACGTCCTCATGCAGACACAAGGACCCATCACACATCAGTGGAGAACCTCAGGTTCACACTGTCTGTGGCACAAAGCACATGAGTAGCATCATTTCCAGTTTAACAGCTGCTGTAAAATACCTGAGACCAGACAAGCTGCCTTTGTAACTCCTGACTGGAGTGAACTTTACTGACCATGATGTGATTTCTACCAACTCTGTAGTCTCCAAACGTGATGTTCAGCCTGGCTCATTAAAAACCATGATTTCATTTGAATCAGCAGCAGCATTCACAAGCTGGAGTCCATCAGAGTGAGTGGATGTTTTTGTGCTGCTGAGATCAAATCATCACCAAATGTTTCCTTTATCCTTCCAGTTTTTATCCTTTGCGGTTAGCTTGTCGTGATGGAGCCAAGTTTTTGGCGAATCTGTTCTATGCAGCAGCAGAGAGAGAACAGGAGACAGGACAGACGACACTGGAGCTGTTGTCGTCAGTCTGCACTTATGAAACATTCCCTTTTGAAGACATAGATGACGATGATTATAAGGAAGATCAGTGTAACTTCCTGCTGGATCTGTGGTCCCATTTAAAGGACTATGAGACTAAAACAGGCTTGAGTGTCCTTCCATCATTACGACCAGTTGTCCAGTCGATTCCTTCAGTCTGGTCCATAGACCTCTCAAAGAGAAAGGCCTCCATCCTCCTGGAAGTGCTGAAACTCCAAGCAGAGAAGAAACACGTGAAGCTGAGAGGCTGCTCACATGGAGAGAGTGAAGTGAAGAGTTTCCTACAGTGTCTGCCTTATATCTCACAGCTCAGGTAAATGTGTTGGACTACACATGGTTTAACTCTGCATGTGAAGAGTTGTGTTCTAAATTAGATGTGTGAATCTTTAGTGCTGCATAAGTTGTAACGTCACCGTACTGTATCAAATGTTCCTCTGATATGTGTTTGTCCTCAGTGTTGTATTTACACAGTGTGACTGTAGTTGTGTGGAGGTAGTTGAGGCCCCTAGTGCGAGTTAGAGCACAGACAGTGTGGACAGTCAGTGGTAATGAAACAGCTACTGCTGAGACGCTGTCAGAGCAACAGGACGTTCAGTAACAGGTCATGTCAGAAACCACAGACAGAGGCTCCACTGCTGCACAAAGCATCCTCACTCAGATGTAATTAGCAGTGAGAGGAAGCAGCTACTGGAAGTACATTAGTCAAGTGCAGTACTTATGTACAGTCTCATAGTTTCCTGTAGTATTTCCACTTTGTGGTGCTTTATGTTTGGACTGCATTTCAGAGGGAAACCGTTTACTCTCCACTGCTCTGTGTTTATTAGCAGCTGTGGTTTCTTGTTACTTTGCAGTTGAAGATTTCATGTCCATGTACAGTCTGATCAGTTTATAACAGATGAGCCTTTACTACAGATGAAACTACCCAACGGGATATAAACTAAGGCAGTTAGCATTAGCTTCACCACAAGCAGCCGCAGCATGAAAATGCTCCAGTTAGATTTTAGTTTCTGGTGTCACGAGTCCAAATGAATGCTGTCTTCAGTAAATAGACAGGAGCTGCATGTTCAGGCTCTCACTCCAAAACACCAGGCACCAAACCACTGGCTCATGTTTGTAGTTGACTGAACCACAGTATGAAACACAGTGATCATTAGGATCGTTAGTCTTAATGAAGGCCACTGTCTGATGGATCAGACAGAGGAATCAGTGTGTGAATATGCTGCTTTTGGTTTGAATGGTACCACAGCCACAACTTGGAAACACATCAGTCTTCTGCCTGTGTGCCAAGAATGAACTGATGTGAATCACAATCAGACCAGTGCAGCTGTGAGTGGACCCCACAGTCCTGCTAATACGTCCTCATGCAGACACAAGGACCCATCACACATCAGTGGAGAACCTCAGGTTCACACTGTCTGTGGCACAAAGCACATGAGTAGCATCATTTCCAGTTTAACAGCTGCTGTAAAATACCTGAGACCAGACAAGCTGCCTTTGTAACTCCTGACTGGAGTGAACTTTACTGACCATGATGTGATTTCTACCAACTCTGTAGTCTCCAAACGTGATGTTCAGCCTGGCTCATTAAAAACCATGATTTCATTTGAATCAGCAGCAGCATTCACAAGCTGGAGTCCATCAGAGTGAGTGGATGTTTTTGTGCTGCTGAGATCAAATCATCACCAAATGTTTCCTTTATCCTTCCAGTTTTTGTTCTCGGTGGTCAGCTGATTATGATGGAGCCAAGTTGTTGGCGAATCTGTTCTGTGCAGCAGCAGAGAGAGAACAAGAGACAGGAGAGACGACACTGGAGCTGTTGTCGTCAGTCTGCACCGATACAATATTACCGTGTAACGACATAGATGATGATGATGATGATGATGATGACAATTATAAGCAACATCAGTTTAACTTCCTGCTGGATCTGTGCTCGCATGTGAAGGACTATGAGACTAAAACAGGCCTGAGGGTCCTTCCATCATTACGACCACTTTTCCAGTCGATTCCTTCAGTCTGGTTCATATACCTCTCAAAGAGAAAGGCCTCCATCCTCCTGGAAGTGCTGAAACTCCAAGCAGAGAAGAAACACGTGAAGCTGAGAGGCTGCTCACATGGAGAGAGTGAAGTGAAGAGTTTCCTACAGTGTCTGCCTTATATCTCACAGCTCAGGTAAATGTGTTGGACTACACATGGTTTAACTCTGCATGTGAAGAGTTGTGTTCTAAATTAGATGTGTGAATCTTTAGTGCTGCATAAGTTGTAACGTCACCGTACTGTATCAAATGTTCCTCTGATATGTGTTTGTCCTCAGTGTTGTATTTACACAGTGTGACTGTAGTTGTGTGGAGGTAGTTGAGGCCCCTAGTGCGAGTTAGAGCACAGACAGTGTGGACAGTCAGTGGTAATGAAACAGCTACTGCTGAGACGCTGTCAGAGCAACAGGACGTTCAGTAACAGGTCATGTCAGAAACCACAGACAGAGGCTCCACTGCTGCACAAAGCATCCTCACTCAGATGTAATTAGCAGTGAGAGGAAGCAGCTACTGGAAGTACATTAGTCAAGTGCAGTACTTATGTACAGTCTCATAGTTTCCTGTAGTATTTCCACTTTGTGGTGCTTTATGTTTGGACTGCATTTCAGAGGGAAACCGTTTACTCTCCACTGCTCTGTGTTTATTAGCAGCTGTGGTTTGTTGTTACTTTGCAGTTGAAGATTTCATGTCCATGTACAGTCTGATCAGTTTATAACAGATGAGCCTTTACTACAGATGAAACTACCCAACGGGATATAAACTAAGGCAGTTAGCATTAGCTTCACCACAAGCAGCCGCAGCATGAAAATGCTCCAGTTAGATTTTAGTTTCTGGTGTCACGAGTCCAAATGAATGCTGTCTTCAGTAAATAGACAGGAGCTGCATGTTCAGGCTCTCACTCCAAAACACCAGGCACCAAACCACTGGCTCATGTTTGTAGTTGACTGAACCACAGTATGAAACACAGTGATCATTAGGATCGTTAGTCTTAATGAAGGCCACTGTCTGATGGATCAGACAGAGGAATCAGTGTGTGAATATGCTGCTTTTGGTTTGAATGGTACCACAGCCACAACTTGGAAACACATCAGTCTTCTGCCTGTGTGCCAAGAATGAACTGATGTGAATCACAATCAGACCAGTGCAGCTGTGAGTGGACCCCACAGTCCTGCTAATACGTCCTCATGCAGACACAAGGACCCATCACACATCAGTGGAGAACCTCAGGTTCACACTGTCTGTGGCACAAAGCACATGAGTAGCATCATTTCCAGTTTAACAGCTGCTGTAAAATACCTGAGACCAGACAAGCTGCCTTTGTAACTCCTGACTGGAGTGAACTTTACTGACCATGATGTGATTTCTACCAACTCTGTAGTCTCCAAACGTGATGTTCAGCCTGGCTCAGTAAAAACCATGATTTCATTTGAATCAGCAGCAGCATTCACAAGCTGGAGTCCATCAGAGTGAGTGGATGTTTTTGTGCTGCTGAGATCAAATCATCACCAAATGTTTCCTTTATCCTTCCAGTTTTTATCCTTTGCGGTTAGCTTGTCGTGATGGAGCCAAGTTTTTGGCGAATCTGTTCTATGCAGCAGCAGAGAGAGAACAGGAGACAGGAGAGACGACACTGGAGCTGTTGTCGTCAGTCTGCACTTATGAAACATTCCCTTTTGAAGACATAGATGATGATGATGATGATGATTATAAGGAAGATCAGTGTGACTTCCTGCTGGATCTGTACTCCAATGTGAAGGACTATGAGACTAAAACAGGCCTGAGGGTCCTTCCATCATTACGACCACTTTTCCAGTCGATTCCTTCAGTCTGGTTCATATACCTCTCAAAGAGAAAGGCCTCCATCCTCCTGGAAGTGCTGAAACTCCAAGCAGAGAAGAAACACGTGAAGCTGAGAGGCTGCTCACATGGAGAGAGTGAAGTGAAGAGTTTCCTACAGTGTCTGCCTTATATCTCACAGCTCAGGTAAATGTGTTGGACTACACATGGTTTAACTCTGCATGTGAAGAGTTGTGTTCTAAATTAGATGTGTGAATCTTTAGTGCTGCATAAGTTGTAACGTCACCGTACTGTATCAAATGTTCCTCTGATATGTGTTTGTCCTCAGTGTTGTATTTACACAGTGTGACTGTAGTTGTGTGGAGGTAGTTGAGGCCCCTAGTGCGAGTTAGAGCACAGACAGTGTGGACAGTCAGTGGTAATGAAACAGCTACTGCTGAGACGCTGTCAGAGCAACAGGACGTTCAGTAACAGGTCATGTCAGAAACCACAGACAGAGGCTCCACTGCTGCACAAAGCATCCTCACTCAGATGTAATTAGCAGTGAGAGGAAGCAGCTACTGGAAGTACATTAGTCAAGTGCAGTACTTATGTACAGTCTCATAGTTTCCTGTAGTATTTCCACTTTGTGGTGCTTTATGTTTGGACTGCATTTCAGAGGGAAACCGTTTACTCTCCACTGCTCTGTGTTTATTAGCAGCTGTGGTTTCTTGTTACTTTGCAGTTGAAGATTTCATGTCCATGTACAGTCTGATCAGTTTATAACAGATGAGCCTTTACTACAGATGAAACTACCCAACGGGATATAAACTAAGGCAGTTAGCATTAGCTTCACCACAAGCAGCCGCAGCATGAAAATGCTCCAGTTAGATTTTAGTTTCTGGTGTCACGAGTCCAAATGAATGCTGTCTTCAGTAAATAGACAGGAGCTGCATGTTCAGGCTCTCACTCCAAAACACCAGGCACCAAACCACTGGCTCATGTTTGTAGTTGACTGAACCACAGTATGAAACACAGTGATCATTAGGATCGTTAGTCTTAATGAAGGCCACTGTCTGATGGATCAGACAGAGGAATCAGTGTGTGAATATGCTGCTTTTGGTTTGAATGGTACCACAGCCACAACTTGGAAACACATCAGTCTTCTGCCTGTGTGCCAAGAATGAACTGATGTGAATCACAATCAGACCAGTGCAGCTGTGAGTGGACCCCACAGTCCTGCTAATACGTCCTCATGCAGACACAAGGACCCATCACACATCAGTGGAGAACCTCAGGTTCACACTGTCTGTGGCACAAAGCACATGAGTAGCATCATTTCCAGTTTAACAGCTGCTGTAAAATACCTGAGACCAGACAAGCTGCCTTTGTAACTCCTGACTGGAGTGAACTTTACTGACCATGATGTGATTTCTACCAACTCTGTAGTCTCCAAACGTGATGTTCAGCCTGGCTCAGTAAAAACCATGATTTCATTTGAATCAGCAGCAGCATTCACAAGCTGGAGTCCATCAGAGTGTGTGGATGTTTTTGTGCTGCTGAGATCAAATCATCACCAAATGTTTCCTTTATCCTTCCAGTTTTTATCCTTTGCGGTTAGCTTGTCGTGATGGAGCCAAGTTTTTGGCGAATCTGTTCTATGCAGCAGCAGAGAGAGAACAGGAGACAGGAGAGACGACACTGGAGCTGTTGTCGTCAGTCTGCACTTATGAAACATTCCCTTTTGAAGACATATATGATGATGATGATTATAAGGAAGATCAGTGTGACTTCCTGCTGGATCTGTGGTCCCATGTAAAGGACTATAAGACTAAAACAGGCCTGAGGGTCCTTCCATTATTACAACCACTTTTCCAGTCGACTCCTTCAGTCTGGGCCATAGACCTCTCAGAGAGAAAGGCCTCCATCCTCCTGGAAGTGCTGAAACTCCAAGCAGAGAAGAAACACGTGAAGCTGACAGGCTGCTCACATGGAGAGAGTGAAGTGAAGAGTCTCCTACAGTGTCTGCCTTATATCTCACAGCTCAGGTATGTCAAATTCTCTATACATTTAAATTTGATTTATGTTAATTCAGCAAATTATTGTCTAAGAAAAGCTCATAATCACCAGTGTAGTGGATTGATGTTATTTACAAACAAACGTTATGGTAATGAGTATCAGTAATCATTTCACAATATCTGTCCCACTGTGTCTCACATACAATAAAAACTGATTGAAGCTGCTGTATTTATGATGGTTTGTTGTGCCGTATGTTGTCATTGTCATGCTTCAGCCTGAGTGTTCTCAGAGTTCATTCATATTACTTTGTTTTAGCTGTGACCCAACGTTTTTCCAGAGAGTGTGTACAGCTTTCTTTGTGAGATCTTTGTGGCATTCTTGCTGAGACACTGGGCAGTCAGATGTTTAGACCTGCTCAGTGTCTCCTTCCACTGCTGCTTCATCATGATGCTCTCACAATCAGGAAAATGACTGTTAACACAAGCTTCTTAATGACAAATCAAAATGTATTGATATTTAGTTTCCAGAGATTTAGTCTTTGTTTTATTTGGTTTGTTAAATGTACAGAATGAGTGAAGAGAGTTTCCAGCAGCTACTGGCCCTCCTCTGTGAGATCCAGGACAAGGACTTGACCCAGTCCTTCTTGAGTAAGGTAGACCTGACCTCCCACTGTCTAAACTGGGAGCTCCTTCACTATCTGCTACAGCAGTCAGCTCAGCCCATCACTGTGGGCCTGAGAAAGAACCCCTTCCTGCAAGAGAGCATCACACATCTGCTTCCCTTCCTGGACAGGATTGTGTTTAAAAGGTGGTCGCTCTGGTTTTTGTTTTACCACATACAGACATACACTCAGTCCTGTGTAATCAGTTGTATATGTGTTGTTGTGGCTCCTGTTTCAGCAGCGGTTTGTTCGTTCTTTGTCTGAACTACGTGTCCTGGTTTCAGGTTCAGTCCCAGCTTTGTGCTGACTGCCATCAGAGAGCTCCACAGAGCTCAGGCCAGTCACATCATACCCAGTTTAGTGAAGTCATTCGATCATGTGATCAGCCTGACCCGCAGAGAGCTGGACTCCGATGACTGTGCTGCTCTGCTCTTCACCCTCACACACAGTGACAGAGTTCACCTGAACCTGACGTGGACCTCCATACCGGCCGGGGAAACAGAGTCCATCCTGTTCACACTGGACAAAGTTTCTCAGCTCAGGTTAGACACTGGTTCCTGTTTCTCAGCACTGTACCCGTTCAGTCCTCTCTGACGTCTAGGACGTAGGTCAGCTGTCAGTGGAGCACCTTGGATGTTTGAGGAAACACACGAGACGGAGTGGATACTTCCCATCATCAGTGTTGGATGCATTAGATGAGCTCTGTCATCTGAAATGGGTCCTCTACCACAGTATTGTCATACTAATGGTCTTCTGTCATACAGCAGTTGCTAAAATCACAACTATTACCCATTTAACTTGATTATTTAATTTCACATTGTGGTGACAATAACGCTTTGCAGATTTGCTTAAATGCTCCAAAATGAATCATTTAATGTATCGTTGGAGACACCCACGATAATTCGACTGCTTCTCTTTGTGCAAGTCGGATCCCAGACCATTTGTTTCTCATCCAATCAGAGTTCTTATTAGTGATGTCATCATGATCCCAGATCTGAGCCATTGGTGTGATAGGAACTGCGTTGTAGCACTGTGGGACCAAACTGAAGAATAAGATCTGAGTTGTTAAGTTATTATATATCATTTTTACTGTTTAGAATGTTTGTATGTATTTGCTGATTATATTGATAACTGATCAGTGAAATCAAACTAAATGGTTGTATTGTTATTTATCTGTGTAATGTGTTATATCTCTGTTGCTCCTACCAGCATTGACAGGACTCTGCTGCTTCACTTTGTCCACTGCTGTGCTGCCTCTGACGCCCAGCAGGAGGCAGCACCAGGTCTGCTCAGGACTCTGCAGCACCAGTTGGATCTATCTTCCTCCGCCTCTGTGGAGCTGCTAGAGCACGGTCAGACTGAGCCTCTGAGTCTGACTGCTGGTGACTGCAGGGCCATCTCCACCGTCCTGACACACAGCAGCCAGGACACAGAGCTGGACCTGCGAGACTGTGAGGTGCAGGACGGTGCCCTGGACCTGCTGTTTCCTGTGCTAGACAGAGTCCACCTCAGGTGGGAGAGACCTCACAGTGACATAAATCAGAGAGGAAGCTGCTCAGTTTGAGATGTCTGTATCCTGACAGTCTGCTCTTTGCTCTGTTTCTCCTGTGTAGAGCCAGTAAAGCTCTCGTCCTCCAGCTGGTGTCTCTGGTCCCTGTGAACAGAGAGAGGGACACGGTGAGACGGACAGTGTCCCTGTGTAGAGCCCTGGGGGGGGAGCTGGACCTCAGCCACACCACACTGGATCAGAGGTCCTGTGGAGCTTTGGTTCTGATGTTGGACCACTGTGAAGGACTGACAGAGCTGGACCTCAGCTACTGTGAGCTCACTGACCAGCTGCTGCTCACACTCGCCACACAGCTGCACAAAGTCCAGGTCCTGGAGTAAGTGTCACACTCTAGAGAGACACATGTTCACGTGACAACAGTGTGTATGATGCAGTGTCTGCTGCAGATCGGTGGGGGTGGAGGTAACACTGTATATAGTATTTAATCCTACAGCAGGCGGAGTCAGTGTGAGGTTCAGAACCAGTAAAGTCAGCTTCTCTCACTAGTGAGCTGAGAGGTGGGCTCAAGGCTGGTCTGGAGGCAGATACAGGCAGTGTGCACCTCAAATATTATTATGGTTTACTGCATCTTATAGTATTATTATGGCTACAAAGGCCTCCAAGGGCAGATGATGCATTTAGACTTCAGCAGAGAGACGTCCTTGTCAGTGTGTACCTGACGTGGACAATGGTTAACCTACTGTATAAACTGTGTGTGAAGATGGTCAGTTGTACTCCAGTGTCAAAACTCTTTGTAACCCAGCTGTGTGATTCTGTGCAGAACAGGAGACTGACCCTGCTGCCGTCTGGTGATGAGACTGAGGGAAAAGAAGCCAAACATAATTTAAAGTAGTTTTTGTTGTCACTGTGACTTTGCAGGTCTGAAGTGTGTCGCTGTCAGTGAGCCATGAAAACAGTCTTTGTGCTGATGAGTTGGTCTGAGCTGACAAAGAGGAATGAACCAGTCATTTAACAGAACATCATATTTCTCTTCTTGTGTTCGTGTTTGTGTGCATGTTACAGTCTGAGTCACAATGAGATCAGTGATGCTTCAGCTGGCACGTTACTCCAGCTGGTCTCCATCAACCCCTCCATCCACACAGTGAGGTAAGCTTTCATTTCCCACAGAGAAACCATTTATGATGTCTGATTAGTTAAATCGGTAGCATTACACGTTATTCTGGGTGAATGAGTGACCTTTGCTCTCTGATTGGTTTTTCTAGGCTCTTCAGAAACAGCATTGTGGACATGTCGCCCTTTAAGAAGCACCAGCAGTTTGAAATATGGTGACCCAGTCAACGGTCAGGTCCCAGTGTGATCATCAGGGAACAATAGTTTTATGGTCTTTTCATGATGGCTGGATGAAAATAGTACCTAATACTGTGGTAGTCAGTACTTGACAATCTTGTGACATTATAGTGGCATTACTTTAGGTAGATAAGGTGTTGAGGTCAGCAGTGATTTCTAAGATCATGACTTGTCTCCAGTTTTTTATAATGTGGATTTGTTTTTTTTTTTTTTTTTTTTTTTTTTTTTGGACTGACACTATAATGATTCCTCCCATGTCTATACATCAGTTTGTTCTTCAGGGATCATGATTATATTATTTTTATTGTAGAAAAATAAATAGAGGTCATAAGTGTGGGGTTTTTCAGTACTATTAATTGATCTAATTTATATTTGTGTGCTTTTGGAATAACTGTATTCTTGAATACATGATCTAGTTGTAACTATATAATGCATATTTCTGTAAAACACACAGTAATGTTGTGTTATGTTTTAGGTTTTCAGAGTAAATAGCCATTTTTACAAACATGCAAAGTAGACAAAATTGTTTTGGTGGTGTTTGAATGAGAACATTTTAACATTTGATCATTAAAAATAATGAAAATCCACATTAAGCGCTGCTGTGCTGACTGGGTAAAATTTTTTGAACTAGTGAATTCAGTAGAGACAAATGTGAGTTACCAGATATTTAAAAAATGCGTGTAGGAGTGTCGTTAATGCATCCAACACGCTGTGCGCCACCGTCATTAGAAATCACGAAGAAGTGTTCACAATAAAGAAAAGAAGAAGAAGTAGTGTTGCTAGCAATGGCAGCTACTTCAGGGTTACAGATGGATCACCTCCCTTCAGACCCGTTGCTGCACATTTTATCCTTCGTGGGCTTCAGAGACCTCATCCAGTATGTACCTAACACTGCAGCCCAAACACACTTCACAGAGACGGTCAGCAGTCTTTTTTCTAAAACACAAAACACCAGGACGCGAGCAGGTTAGCGGCTGCTACTGAAGTAGCAGGCTGTTAACAACAGAAATAACTACGGCAATGAAAGTAGTCTGGGGGGCTTCTGTGTGACAGACAGCAACAGAAATATGAATGTTTGGTCAGAGGATGGTCAGTTGTACTCCAGTGTTGTTTATTACCGAGCTGCTGTTGAATAAAAACACCTTCACCCCAAGCAGTAGTACTCCTTAGCTTAGCAGGTAGCTATTATTTTAGTTCTAACTTCTAATTAATAGTTATAAAAAGAGTTATCAGTTGATTCCAGCAGGTATTCTTAGATCAAAATGGTGGCTGTCATGTAGAACAGAGCTAGCATGGCGACTTTAGCTCGTACAGTAAGATAAAGATTTTATTTACTGTTAGCTGCTTGCCATTAGCTGCTAACGACTTGTTAGCCTGTAGGTCGGTTATCATAATACTGTCACATTATTCTTATGTAATGGTGTAATGTAACTATTTACTCAGGTACAGGTTTGAGCTACTTGTAAATAATTCTTGATAATTTGTTATTGATTAAATATTTTCAGTGGTGTAGGAAATATTCCGCTAATTAAGATAAGCATCGATAATCCTACTTACAGTAGATAAAGGTAGACCAGCTTCATGTATTAAAGAGTCAGCAGTGAAAGTACACAGATCACTTTCTTGTAGTTAGTGTTTTCCATTATCCTCTATTTTATGCATTAAGATTGTTAAGATATAAAATCTTAATGTGTCTTGTAAGTGAAGCTGTCAGCCAGATGTCAGTAACATCCATCCATCATAAGCTATCAATGGTCCACAACTCAGAAAACAGCCAATCCTCCACTGAACAAGTTGCTGCCAAACAATGCTTAGTATCTGTTTATTTAATGTTATGAAATTAAAGATCTGCCTGTATTTGTGACTCTCTGCCTTTTGTTTCTTTGTAGTTGCAGTTATGTCAGCAGGAGGCTGAATGAACTCTCCAAACACAACCCGCTGTGGAAAGCCTTCTGCTCCAAACACTGGCTGCTTACAGAGTGAGTGGTGTTCAGCTGCTGAAAACTCAACACAGTACTCTGTTATCCCAAAGTGTAATGTTTTCTCCAGGAAATTGCTCAGCAGAGAAGGCAGATCACACACAGACGCATTTTGTGAGCAGTGTTTTCAGTAGATGAACAATAGTTTGGTCACATCCTAAGGTTTTTCCTCAGATGCAAATTAGTCAAAACTAAACATAAAACCAAAATATCTTCATATGAAGCTGCAGTCAGCAACTTTGTCTCACCTTGTTACTGTCAGTCTGCTGGTGAAAAAGTTGTGAAATCAGATGTGTGTTTGTGTGTGTGTTCAGTGCAGACCGGCTGGAGAGCGGCCTGTCCTGGTACTGTCTGTTCCAGCAGTACTACAGAGACCTGGGCCACTACATCCACTACTACCCTGTACTGAAGAGGGCCTGGGAGCAGCTGAAGAGCTTCCTGCAGCAGAGGTGTCCGCGCATGATCGCATCGCTCAAAGGTGACGCAGCCACACCAGCGTATACAATCTGGGTCCAAACAGTCTGAGTGTCTCACCACAATGCCTTCTTGGGTCCACAGTGGTTTACTCCATTTTGATTTGTATTTATATTCAACAAAGCGCTTAGGTGTTGATACCAGACAGTTTCTAGTGTAAACATAACTGTTTCAAACTTAAATTTCTTCATTAAATCATGTTTGACGCAGTCAACTTCTGTATGTAATCATCTTAACAAACAAGATGTGTGTCTGTGGGTGGCTACAAGAGTCTTTAATGTCAGTTTAAGTAATTTTGGATACATTTTGAAGCATGTTTATTTATTTGTCAGTGTAGGATCTTACATGGATGGCAAAACAACTTAAGTGTAGTTTTTAAAAATATACTCCTGTAGGTTTGAGTCCTGGTTGATTTGCCTGTAGTAATTAATATCACAGAAGCTTAAAGAGCCGACATTAGATTTGTACCTTTCTACAGCATCTCCTGGGCAAGAGAATATTCTTAGATTGATCAGGTGGACACAGACAGCTCTCCAGTCAATTGACCATGTTGCTCTGTAGCTGCTGAAGGCGTTTGCCAACATGTTCAGTGTATAACTTTAAAAGTGACTATATGTCACTGTGTATTGTTTCTTTGTTTCTGCTCAAAATAAAGGAAAAATAATACTTGTCAGCATTGTGTCACTCTCGTTTTCTCACTTCAACTTCCAGCTTCTTGTTACTTTCTTCTTCAGAAGGAGCCACAGAGGTGGAGCTTAATGACATCGAGGCTCAGATCGGCTGCAGACTTCCAGACGACTATCGCTGCTCCTACCGCATCCACAACGGACAGAAATTGGTCATCCCAGGGTCAGAATCTATTTGATTGAGTCTCCCTGCTTCTGCCTGTGTCCCAGTCTGACCCCACCGGTCTGTGTCCTCAGGCTGATGGGCAGCATGTCCCTGTCTAACCACTACCGGTCGGAGGTGCTGCTGGACGTGGAGACGGCGGCCGGAGGTTTCCAGCAGAGGAAGGGGATGAGACGCTGCCTCCCGCTCACCTTCTGCTTCCACACTGGACTCAGCCAGTACATGGCTCTGGAGCCCGCAGAGGGACGCAGGATGTTTGAGAGCTTCTACCCCTGCCCTGTCCGTAACCTTCCCGTCTGCCTGTCTTTTCAAACTAAATGTCTCAAAAGTGCTTTACACAGAGGAGAAAGCTTGACTTGATGAGAGTTAAAGTTCCCTCAGATTAGAATCAAACAAGGTTTCTCTAGATTGAATTATGATTATGTGCAGTGAAAGTGCATCAGGTTCTACTTTAGTCGTTTTAAAGACCGATCTGGATCCACCCAGTCTGCTTGTCTCTGTCTCTCTCATTCACACACGCTGCCTTTGTCTTTCAGAATCAGACAGCTCAGGATCCTTCAGCCATCGACATGTTCATCACAGGTTGGTTCCTTCATCTCTTCTGTGAGCTCTGGACATGTGCGCACAGGTGTTCTGGAAACAACAAGAAGGTAGTTAGTGTAGTTTGACTGCTGATTTGGCTGCTCTGCAACATGGTCAGCCATTGGAGCTGCAGCTGTGACTGAGACATGCAGCTCATGGATATAATTAAGGTCATTTAAGACACTATAACTCAGGTCATGTGCTTCTTCCTCTCGCAGTCAAATGTGAACACAGACTGGATACAGACATTTTTAGATTTAATGTGACTGACACTTTGTGAAGATATCATCTCTGATGCCCACTGTAAATAAACATCCATAAATCCACTGAATACATTGAATGAAGACGCAGATTGTAATTGCCTCAGAATCCTCATGATTTTAAGTTCCCTTCAGTTCCCTTTCAGAACCACTGAAATCCATGGGGACACTGCACACAGTTTGTCTCATTGTTGACAAGTACAGGCATAAATCTGCCCCCAGTTAATTAATTTACTTAAATACTGCTTATCAGACACTGGTGAGTTAAAAACAAGGATTTATCTGCAACCATGTGAAAAATATAATATTGTACATTTTGTATGTTCCTGCCGACGTATGGATTTTGGCATTGTAGCAAAGTGTGTGTGTGTGTGTGTGTGTGTTCAGGTTCGTGTTTCTTGGAGTGGTTCACAGCTTACGTCCACAATGTCGTCACAGGAGAATATCCAATCATCAGAGACCAGATCTTCAGGTAAAGCACACACATTACATGTTTTAAGTCCATCATTTATTTATGCTTATTTAAATGCTCTCTCATTTTTGTTGTGTTGTTGACCCACTAACACTAAGTTTGTGAACATGGCCAACGCTGCCAAACATCAGTATCACTACTCTGCTCTCACATCAGAGCAGCAACAGTCAGTCACCTCATTCACACAACACTGGTGGATGGAATCATGTTCCTTCACATTTTCTGCTGCAGAGTTTCTTGAAATTTGGTTAAAATTCACACTAACTTTGGTCCAAACTCGAACAGTGTGCACTTCTCTCTACAGGTATGTGCACGATAAAGGTTGCGTGGCAACCACTGGTGACATCACCGTCTCTGTTTCTACCTCCTTCCTACCAGAGCTTTCCTCCATCCATCCGCCACACTTCTTTTTCACTTACCGCATCAGGTACTGGCTCACCTGTGCACTATGTCCAGTGCATGTGACACGTGTTGTAACAGGTGTGTCTTTTCAGGATAGAGATGTCGAGCAGCGCATCGCCTGAGGCTGCCTGCCAGCTCGACAGCCGCTACTGGAAAATCACCACCTCCGACGGCAACGTGGAGGAAGTTCAGGGGCCCGGCGTGGTTGGTACGCTGCTTGCATCACGTGACCGCCTGTACAGCTCGACCATGATTGGCTGAGATTAGCTGTTAAAGCTGTGTCTGTATTTGTGCAGGTGAGTTTCCAGTGATGACACCAGGAAAGGTCCATGAGTACGCCAGCTGCACCACCTTCTCCACGCCATCAGAGTATATGGAGGGTCACTACACCTTCCACAGACTTGGTAACAGACTGGGGGAAGTTTATGATGCTGTCCTACAGTTTGATTGTCTCACTGTTAAGACATTCACAGTAAACAATGATCAGATTCCTGCAGGTTGCATGATTTCACTGTGAAGCAGCTCTTAAACTACAACCCAGCTATAGCAGCTGTACCTGCCACACTACTCTGTTCAACAGTGGAGCAGCTATAGCTTCACATCTGCTTCTTGGTTATGTAACCCAGCTCCAGCTCTGTAACAGTGAAGCATCAGGAGCTGTTGTCCTGTGAAGCAGCTGAAAGGGCACGGTGTGTATAGCTGTGATGTTTGTTTTTCTTGTAGCCAATAAAGAAGAAGTTTTCCATGTGGCCATCCCTCGCTTCCACATGGTCTGCCCCCCCTTCAGAGAGCCAGTTGTTCGAACGGTAAACTCATTTATACAACTGATTTTCACCTTTGCTCACTGGAGTCTGTGCAGTCAGTTTTGATCTTCTTGTGTGAGACCAAACTGTTTCCTTTCTGCTCTGTGAATACGATACCGTGGGCAGGTCTAAACCTTCTGCAAGTTTTAGTGCAGCCAGACTTGGTTCTATCTTTTGGGACTTCATGGTGACTCTTAGCTCTGACATCGTTTTTATTTTAGAATGTCTGTTTACTTTTTAAGTAAAGGTCCTAAAATGATGTCAGGCTTTTAAGGCTTTGGCCACATTTTGCTGGACAAAATCTGGGATGTAACATTATTTTCACATCTGGCATTTGTCTTCAAGGCTGCAGGTCTTTAGAACCAGCTCTTAAATCTGTCTTAAAAACATCAGAAAACAGTGAAAAATGCAACATCATTAAGTGTTTTGTTTTGTCCAAAACCACAAATATTGAATTTACTGTCATGTAAGACAAAAGCAGCAAAGCCTTGCGTTTAAGAACATGAAACCATCAAATCGAATTATCAGACTAGTTTGAATGGATCAATTAACTGATCACTGCAGTTTTCATAGCTCTCAGCAGGTAAAGTGCAGTTTTGTTTCACAGCCACTGAGAACCTGCCGAACTTGATTTAAGTAAACTGAGACTGATGGTGTGTTTTTGATTTCTGCAGCAAAAGGCAGCCACCAGTTACACAACTCGCTTTGACGACCACGACCACGATGGCGAGTACTGCGACGGCGATGGCGATGATTTTGGCGATCTGAGAGGAATCAACATGGCCGCCTTGGAGGGCGCGTGGTGTCCTCGACACATCTGACCTCTGCCCCCCCCCAGCAGTTTCACTGCACTGCTCATGGACTAAGTTATTCGGATCTGATTGACGGCAGTAAAACATCCTTCGTGACCTCACTAACGGAGGCCAGGGGATTCTGGGAGAGGTAGTACCAAGCAGAGCCATACCCGGGACAGATTCACGGCAACTTCCAGCTGTCAGTCAAAAAGCTGAAACACAATGTGTACAAGGTGCAGTTTAATGGAAAAGATCTGATTCTTTCTCTTGTTTAAACTTTTCTTCTTGGGATGTAAAAATATTGGACAAGGGAAGAACTTCCTGATCTTCTCTTTGGCTTTCAGGATGGTTATTTGTGGTGCCTGGCTAAGTTCTTTTTTTTTTTTTCCCCTCAGCA